CAGGGCTTTATGAAATCCAATCACATGCCCAAGAAATAGAATAGAAAAGTTTGCTTCACTTAGTATTGGTCCTAGAATAGTGGTGTTCAGACTCTCATTTATATATATTTTCAACAGTGGAACTATTTTTCCAAACGAAATGTTATACAAAAGGCCAGACTACGAAACATCTTGAAATATCAATATACTGGAAATGGAATTGTTTTGGTTGAGCTGGGGATGGAGGGAGGGTAAAAAGGATTGTCTACTCTCCTTCACCATCCCTCAAGGTTTCCTTGCTACATTGCTAGGAAACTTAGGACCTTAGAACATAATTTATATGTCTCCATATACTTTCCCCCTCCAAAGTCCAACTTTTCGGTAACTAAATAAACCTGTTTTCTGGTGCCACTATTTGAGTGCTCAGCAGAGAAGTAGTCCTCTAATTTTTGGTGGGTACTGGGAAAAAAATATAAGACATTAAGAACTTTTAAAAAAGAAGGTCCACTTTTAGATTACAGTGAAAACAATCCCAGGGACTTAGAGAAATCATGAAGAACAAAGTAGAATGAAAATGAAGGGGGTGGGGGAAGCCTGATTTCCTGACTTACAATAGCTCACATAACCACTACTACACACTTTCACCTCAGTATTTAAGTGCTCTATGAACACTAAAAATTCTGTGTTTATAAGATTAGAGGACTTTATGCTGATTACTAGCAAATAATGTTGCTCCATGGATCTACTGTAAATGCTGTTCTTGAGAATAATTGAATTTATTTGGTAGAACAATTATGAGAAACTTTAAAAATGCCAGATGACTTTGAAATGTGTGCTGCCACTGAATTACCTTTCGTTCTCAGGGTCCCTGTGGTCTGGCACAGCTCATGCTAAGGTGGAATAAAAAGTGGAGCCTGCTGGACCCGGGCTGCAGTGGCCCCGAGTCAGGAGCTGAGCTCAAGCCAACCACAACACAGAGGCCAAGAGGGAAGTTTCAGGGAAGAGTCCAGGTCTCTGGGCCAGGCTGGTGGCTTCTGAAGGTTGTAAAGCAAATACACATTAGACACTTTCAGGGGAGGGATAAATGCAGGTAGGCATCACTAAGCACCAAAAGAAATCAGAGCACAACACTGAGTGTCCCCAAAAACACCACATTGTGGTACCATCCCAGACTACGGAATATAAATTTGTCACTAGGACCTCCTGAAATTGTCATCTGCCCATGCCCATGCTGAGTAACTTACACTGTCGCTAGTGATTCCTAGTTCTTATGTGTCTTTCTTAAATGAGAAAGCAAAAGTAGAGAGAGATTAAATAGTTAACTGTGATCCTATAGTGAAAAGGCAGAGAGCAGAGTGAACAGCATGCTGTCATACCTCAGGTATAGCCCCCAAATATCTCTGAGAAGACACCTCCAAATCCACTAGTTCGCCAGCAGGGAGATGAGCTGGGAAGTGGGAGAGATGGGGGTGTTGCTGTATACACTTACTCTGGCTTCTTATGTTCCTTTTACATTTTGTACTATATGTGCACCTTTACCTGTGCCCACAAATACTATAAACATAGAAAACTCACAGAACCTAAGTAGGCTCTATATCATGTGCTCCCCCCCCCCTTTTGCACAGGAGGCCTGGGGAGCCCCAGCAGAGACCGCATGGCCTGCGGCCACTCAACATCTTAATATCATTGGCAGGAATAGAAGGAAGATCATTCCAAGTTTCCAATGTGTACTCGGTGTGGGGGGAATGCCTCTGAGGAGTCCTGGAAAAATGGGGGACACAGGGACAAGATAAATGGCACCCTGAGAAAACAGGCAAATCTAGAATGAGGGACATTCTACAAGACAACTGATCAGGAGGCTCAAGAGAGTGATAGACCGTCTGAGATACAGACCGTACTGCAGGAGGTAGGGCTGTTCCCCATTACAAGCAGCTAATGAGGGACTGTGACACAAAATTCATCCAGGTCTTGACTGGACCCTGGACTATGGGGCTAAAACAACTAGAAAAGATACTTTTGGGATAGCTGGGGAAAGTGGAATTGAATTGGATATTGTGAGATTACAGATCATTGTCTTAAACTGTGATAATGGTACTGAGGTTGTGTTATGCAATGTCCTTACTGTAAGAGAAGGGTAATAAAGTATTTAGAGATAAAGGATTATGTTGTGCCTAATTTACTTTCAAATGATTCAGAGGGTGAAAAAGAATATATATTTAGAAACATAAGACAAAGGAAGCATAACATTAACAACTGCGAATTGAAGTGAAGATATGTGGGTGTTTATTATTCTTCAACTTTTTTGTGAGTTTAAAATTCATCAAAATCAAACTGTTGGGAAATGAAAGGGAAAGTTTTAAAGCAAAACAAAAAGAAAAAAAGGGAAAACAAACAGAAGAAAAGTGGTTAGCATCCTACTCTGTCTCCAACTAGCCTTCTGACTTTGGGATAGCGCCTCAATGTTTCTGCATCTTGGCTTCCTGTCTGAGGGATGAGGAAACTGGAGTAAATGACCTGTGAGGTGATCCCAGTTCTAAAATCTAGATACCGGGAGTAATTTGTAGAAACAGGATGTTTATGCTCGCCTGTCCCTTCCTACCAGACACTCACCTAAGTGCCATTTTCCATAAAAGAGCTTACTGGGTAAAGTCTTAGGTTTTTTACTTTTGTGGAAAAGATTTTAATGCACTAGTTTCATAAGACTTTCTATGCTCTTAAAAAGTTCTAAGGAACTGCAGTAAATATGATGGGTAAGTTTATAAGTACAAGTAACTGCACAATAGCATTAAAGTTCTGCCTTAAAAATCTAATAGCATAAAAAAAATGGTAAAGCTACTTCAAGCCTTGAAACAAGTTGATTTTATCTTAGTATCTTGTTATAATTTCACTTGGATTTGTCTGTCATATGTTAAATGGCCATCTTCTCAATTTATCTGTGGTTTTACTGATAAAGACTGAGGAAATTCTTTATACTGCTGTGGTCACTAAAGTGATAATTAGCAAAATACTGCTTTGGGTGATGACCTAAAGCGGGTGTCTGGAGATGAGTGCTTTCTACCTCAGTTACTGCACATTTCTCATTGAATCTTCTATCAGAATTGGCATTCTTTACACATACCTCTGTCTAGGTATGAGCTCAGGGATGGCAGGGGACTGTACTAAGCTGAGTACTCTGCTCTTAGTATGTGCTCACTTACTGTTTTTAATTTTGTTGAATCTAATTGAGACACAGCACAATTTAGTTTGTAATTACCAATTAGAATGAAAGGACATCTTGTAAAATACTAATTTCATTGATATTATTTTTTGTGCGGCATATCCAGTTTCTAAATTATAAATGTTTAATAGTTAGAACTGGACAAATAGCAATCTTCCTATACACTTACTTTACTGTGTGAGAAGTGATGAAATATTCAACAGACTGACAATGATGCCACCTACAGCTATAGAATGGCTCTCTGAAGTTCTTATCGGCTTTTTCACCTTTTACTCTCTCTAATCCTTCGCCTAGTCCTGTGTTCCTCAGCTTCTTGGTTAATCTTTCCAAAAACATGGAATAGTTTCATATATTGGAGCAGTTTTGCCCTCAAAGATTTAGAAAACCTTTCTGACTAGAAACTTTATTTTAGATAACTGAATATCCCCACTTTTTAATTGTTACACTTAATTTCTCTTTTTAATTGAAGTAGTGATGGCTTATACGATTAATTAGGTTTCAGATGTATAGCCTCTTCACATCTGTATATACTACCTCATGTTCGCCATCAGGCTTCTAGTTTCCATTCGTCACCATTTTACCCCATTTACCCTGCCCCCTTCCCGTCTGGTAACCACTATTTTGTTCTTATAGTCTAAAAATTTTTATTTAGTTCTTTTCTTCTTTAGTACCACAAATGAATGAAATCACCCACTGTCTTTTTCTGTCTACTTATTTTACTAAAGCATTATTCCCTCTGGTTCTATCCATGGTGTTCCAAATGGCAGAATCACACTTTTTTCTAATAGCTGAGTAATATTCATGGTATATATAAATCTTTATCCACTTGTTTGTCAATAGGCATGTAGGTTGTTTCCAACTCTTGGCTATTGTGACTAATGTGGCAATAAACAAGAGGTTACATGAATAAGCCAGTTTTAATGGTAATATGTTTGCTATGCTCTTTAAAGGATTTATATCTCTGTTTAACTCAGAGGAAGTCAAGGATCGCAGACCTTCCAAAATCCACAGAAGTAGTGGGGGAGATGATGTAGATATTAGCAGAACCAAAGATTTTGAAACATGAGGTGGGGTTTATACTGGTGAAATAGCTGTCTAGCCACCCATTAATCATAAATGGTCGAAGTGCCTTAAGAAATTGTGCTCCACCTCATACTACAAAGAATCTAAGATAGTGAAAATACTATTTTATATAAACCTATAAAACATACAGGGTCAAGGGAAGGAAAAGTTGAATACTAGTCGGCAAGCAGTAAGACATAACAAAGTTGTCATGGCTGGTCTTTGATTTTTAGCTCTGAGATTTTGGCAACTAAAACTAAGACAGGACTCTTGAACAGTTCTTTGATTTTCACTAATCATGAGGGAAACACATTTTACTTACTCACAGGAACAAAGCTACCCCCTACGGTGAAAGTCCTGTCCTATTGTATTTGTATCCTGTACTTGTACAGAGCCTGAGCAGTATTCACTGCTGCCCTTTACCTACTATTAGCTGTGAAAGGAATCTCTCATGTAGAGCTTCATTTAAGGGTGGGGATTTAGAGTCTCAAGACTGGTTGACTACAGTAAATGAAGTGATGGGTTTCATTAACATGTTTCTTGCTGTATGCATTATAACACAGAAACACAACTCAGGAAAGCAATCTTGGGGTGCAGGTGGGATGTCAAGCTTAATGATCTAAGATCAAGTATTTCTGAAGGGCATGAAGAGGGGGCTGCATCTATATGTCCACCTTCAGGCCCTAATTTGGGGTGACTAAGTTCCTCATCCTTAGTTCAGTTCCTTAGTTCATGCCATTACCTTGAACTTATCCTCATAGTTCTCGAAGGCTTCCATGACCATACACACGGCCTCCATTGAGCGCTCGAGCCGGCCATCTACCCCGTTGAAGCGGTACATGCTGCCAGACACATCCACCACCAGGCGCAGGCGCTTGGGCTTCTGTTGGGGGCTACCCAGCTGAGGACAGGACAACAGAAAAGTCTTGTGAGCCAGGAAAACACCACTGGCTGCGATTCTGGGGATCTCCTAAAGGCCCCAGAGTACCAGCCCCAATGCAGGCAGGTCAGTCATTAGCTTGGCTCTGTACAAATCTGTCCTGCCAGGTGGCAAGGTGTCTAAGGATTGCATTTCAGTAAATGGAATTTCAGAATTGTCAGGGTCATATGGGAAAGATTTTCCTTCAGACTATGGTCCTTTCAGTCGAGTCTGCTAAAACTGCCTTACTGAGTCTGATGCCATCTTAAAAATAATAATCTGGAAAGACATAAACACTAACATGTCATTTTCATGTCATGCCTTGGAGTCTAGCAAGATTGAGTTGCTTTGGAATCCCAGATGAATTTTACTTGTACCTGTTGTGTAGTGACTTGAAAATGATTTTCCGCATAGTCTGCAAGAAATGTCAGCTTCCTAAAACAAGGATATGTGAGAAGGGGTTCTGGCAAAGAACTTAAGGGAAATATTTCTTCAATGCCCTTTGTCTTTACCAAGCTTTCAGTTTTCTCTTCCATCCAGTCACCAAATTACTACCTCACATTTTTTTTGGCAGTTAAAGACATGAAAGTAGCATCTAACTGCTATTCAGCCACAACTGACAATTAAAATGTGAAACTATTATGAGTTTCAGTTTGATTTTGGACTCAGGCCTGCCAATCTGCAGAATTAAAAGTATACTTGTCAGCTTTACTTTAAAAAAGAAAAATTCTGATTATTCTGGTATTACATACATATAGAGGTATGAAAAACTAATGAGTAGAATTAGTCATTTTGAGATGATATTGTAGTATTAGAATATAATTGAGACAAATTCCTTATCTTTTTTAAAAACTTGCAGTCCGCCTAAATCAAGAACAGTGCCACAAATGCTTTCCTGACGACTCACAATTTCAGAAGTATCTAAACACATTTGTGGACCACAATGAGTCAGTAAAGACAGCAGTAGTTGACTCATACCAGTGAGACAGAAGAAAACACTCCCCAAATGACCAAAGCATCCGCTCTAAATAAACTGTAAATGGAGCAAGTGACTTCCCTTTCTCTACCAGACCCCAGGCTCTCAATGGCTGCTCTGCAGTCATCCTTTATTCGGGAGATGGTAAGTCACAGAGCCTTTCCAAGAGACTTGATATTCACCTTATGGACTTTCTCCCCCCCCTTTGGTCATTGTATTGCAAAGATTTAAAAAATAAAGGGTGTTTAAACTTTATATCCTACACTTAAGAGTTACTTATGGGAGAATTCCTTATTTCTAAGATTTTCTTCAATTATACTATCCTTAAAGTAATAGAACCCTAAAAACCCACCAAGACTGCTCCGGTAAACTTCCCTTGCACAACACTCTGGGATCCACAGACATGTGGAGGGTCTTCAGTGTGTCTTCCAGGGCATCCTGTTCTGTGTGTGGGAGCTGATCTGCACAGAGTCTTCCGCCTCCCTCTTGGCTGCTGGCTTCCTGTGGGTTCTGCTGGTGGGAGGTACTGGTAGGAGGATGAGGGTGGGGTATTTGCTCCTTCAGCTCCTTTCCTGCTATTGATGGCCACAACTCCTGTCAGGCAGCTGTCTGTGTAAGTGGCCTTCTCTGGTTCTAGTGGAGGATCTTTCCCATTGCCTGTTTAGATCTATTGCTGGGACACCACACTCTCTCCATTCCATTCTTTTAACAGCACACCCTTACCTTTTATTCACTGTTCCTTAAATTACTCAATTTGAGTGTGCCTGTTGTTTCCTGACTTTTATTGAAATCTTGACTCATGTGATAAATACTATTTTTTTTCCTATTTTTTCCAGTTTTCTTGGGTGTCATAGGGTTTTTGGCATTCTGACAAAGATGGCAACCCAAAATAGCAGGTATCTGTAAAGATGACTGAATTTTGCAAATCACCAGTGCTACTTACTTGTGGCTCCAGATCTCCCCGACGTTTGTAGATGGCTTTTTCTCCAGTCAGCCCATCAATGATCTTGGCATCATCTAGGTCCCCAGTAGCTTGATGTCTTAGCCATTGTCTTTCTTTACCTTTAGCCTACAATAGCAAGCACACAGATCCTTACTTTAATTAGTTCTGCAGGGTCCCTCACACACTTTACACATGAATTACAGGAAATACACCTGGGATCTTTTCAATAAGTGATGTTCTGCAAGCACAGTTTCACAGACAGACTGGTTTCTGCTTTGCTGACAGAAAGTCCTTTGTGAGGATTTTGTCAGTTCTAATTGTTTAAAAACATGGAGTGATAAAATGAACTAACTTAAAGCATATACGAAAGGGAAAACATTATGCAAATGAGCCCCAGGAGAAATGTGCGGTATCTGGAAATCTAACAGAGATGCATTTCTTTGAATTTTCTATCACATTACTCCTAGAAAATTTATTAGCTAGCAAAATAATCAGCTTGAAGTTGTTAACATTGTCTGAAAACACAGAGAAAATGTGATCTTCAGAATTATTCCTGTTGGAAAAGAAGCTGTTACTCAAGTTCTCCATGAGCTAGTGTACAAATGAGAACAGCTGAAAACAATAGTACATGAACATTTTCTACTCTACATGTCTTTGTGATCATCTTTACTCAGAAATCTTCTGAATTTTCATCAGGTATTTCCATATAATACAATTACAATCTAAGGTAGTTATAGCTGAGAACTATATTTACATTAAAATATGGGAAGAGTAGCTAAAATATTTTTATGCACACAAACTGTAACAAAGATCCTGTACTTTGGACTCAGATTGGATTCAACCCTCCCTTCACTATGGTCAGTTACCTGACCACAGGCAAGTTACTTAAGCTGTCTGCATTTCAGTTTTCTTGTTTCTAGAATGAAGATAACACTAGTGTCTATCTTAGTGAGTTGTGAAGATTAAATTAGGTACTACTTGGGATATGCTTAGATAGAGCCTGACAATCTGTCAGCTGGTATCATCATCATCATATCATAGACAACTAAGTCCACATTAAGTTAAGCACACTTCATCACTGCTTCACAGGAGGTGACTGTGATAGCACTGTCACATGTGTCAGGCAGGTAGTGTCTGTTTTAGGGCATATCAACTACTACATAAATGAGCTGCTCTGGGTAGTACCTTATGTATTGTTGTTTAGTTTCTGATACCCCTTGTTGCAAACTGGTGCAAATTTACCATAGAGAAACTATTGTGATAAGAACCCCAAGATCATATAGGACAGTGGGGTTCATTGGCATATAGGTCATATGCAACTAATACAGTTTTAGGGCATAGGAGAAAAGTGTGAGCAGAGTCTTTTAGAATCCTTTCCCACTTGGTTGTGCATCAGAAAACAAGCTTGACCACACAGCTCATCCTTCTGAGCTCCCTCCCCTGCAACAGTGATGAGAACCCAGCTCCTACGTCCTCTTTCCCACCATTCTTGGTGTCCATTGGGAGATAACCTTTTCTTGGACTAGATAGTTCTCAGGTCTAAGATAGTTTATGTTGGGAGTTGCAACTGAGGATGCCCCTTAGGTATCTTTCTGATACTGTGACTCTTAGAGGCGCCAAACTGCAGAGCACTGCCTTTTAACAGAACATTGGATTTTTTTTTTTTATAATATTTATTTTTATATTCCCCATACAATTTCAACCCCCCCCATTTTGACCCCAATCCCTCTCCTCCCTCCACCCACCCCCCCAAAAATGTCTCTGGTTCATAGTTGTTTGTTGATTTTGATTTTCACTTTCTTATAGTTATTCATTTTCCTGGTCCCTTATTTAAGTTTTCTAGATTCCTGCTATGAGTGAGACCATCCGGTATTTTTCTTTTTCTTTCTGGCTTATTTTGCTGAGCATGATCCCTTCCAGCACCATCCATGTTGCTGCAAATTGCATGTGTTTATCTTTTTTGAATGCTGAGTAATATTCCATGGTATACATGTACCATATCTTCTTGATCCAGTCATCTATTTTTGGGCATTTGGGCTGTTTCCAAAGCTTAGCTATTGTAAATAGTGCTGCTATAAACATAGGGGTGCAGGTGTTCTTTGGAATTGATGTTTCTGTGTCCTTTGGGTAAATACCTAGGAGTGGAATTGCTGGATCATATGGAAGCTCTATGTTTAGTAGGTCCAGAAATCTCCACACAGCTCTCCATAGTGGTTGGACCAGTTTGCACTCCCACCAACAGTGCAGAAGAGTTCCTTTTTCTTCACACCCTCTCCAACATTTGTTGTCGCTAGTTTTTTTAATATGTGCCATTCTCACTGGTGTAAGATGGTATCTCATGGTAGTTTTGATTTGCATTTCCCTGATTACAAGTGATGTTGAACATTTTTTCATATGCCTGTTGGCCATTTGCATTTCCTCTTCAGAGAAGTTTCTTTTTAGCTCTTCTGCCCATTTTTTGACTGGATTATTTTCTTTGTTGTTGTTGAGTCTCATCAGCTCTTTGCAGATTTTTGTGATCAATCCTTTATCATTAGTGTTGTGTGCAAAAATGTTCTCCTAGTTGGTGGGGTTTCTCTTTGTTTTTGTTATTGTCTCTTTTGCTGTGCAGAAGCTCTTTAATTTGATGTAGTCCCAGCTGTTTATCTTTGCCTTCACTATCACTGCTTTGGGTGATGTGTCTGTAAAGATGTCTTTGATGTGCAAATCACGTAGTGTTTCGCCTATATTTCCTTCTATGTATTTATGGTTTCAGGTTTTATGTCTAGTTCTTTAATCCATTTTGAGTTGGTTTTGTGTATGGTGTGAGGTAGTAGTCAAGCTTCATTCTTTTGCATGTAGCGGCCCAGTTTTCCCAGCACCATTTATTGAACAGACTTTCTTTGCTCCAATGCATATTCTTTGCTCCTTTGTCAAATACTAGTTGACCATAAATCTGTGGGTTTATTTCTGGATTTTCTATTCGATTCCATTGGTCTGTGTGTCTGTTCTTGTTCCAATACCAGGCAGTTTTGATGATTATGGCTTTGTAGTATAGCCTGAAATCTGGGAGTGTGATGCCTCCATTCCCTTCTTTTTTTTTTCAGGAGAGCTTTGGCTATTCGGGGTTTTTGGTGATTCCATATAAATTTCATCAATAATTGTTCTATTTCTTTGAAGAATAACATTGAAATTTTTATTGGAATAGCATTGAATCGGTATATTGCTTTTGGTAGGATGGCCATTTTAATAATGTTTATTCTTCCAATCCATGAGCAGGGGATGTCTTTCTATTTCTTTGTATCTTCTTCTATTTCTTTTAACAGTGTTTTATAGTTTTCTTTGTAAAGGTCCTTTACCTCTTTTGTTAGATTTATTCCCAAGTATTTGATTTTTTTTGTTTCGATAATAAAGGGGATGGTTTTTTTCATTTCTTCTTCTTCAGATTTATTGTTAGTGTATAGGAAGGCTTCTGACTTTTGCATGTTGATTTTGTATCCTGCCACTTTGCTGAACTGATTGATGAGTTCAATTAGTTTTTCTATGGAGTTTTTGGGGTTCTCTATGTATATTATCATATCATCTGCAAATAGTGATAGTTTGACTTCTTCTTTTCCTATTTGGATTCCTTGTATGTCTTTCTCTTGTCTTATTGCTCTGGCTAGGACTTCCAGTATTATATTGAAAAGCAGTGGTGAGAGTGGACATCCTTGTCTTGTTCCAGATCTTAATGGAAATGCTTTCAGCTTTTCACCATTGAGAATGATACTGGCTGTTGGCTTGTCATAGATGGCCTTTATGATGTTGAGGTACGTTCCTTGTATCCCAAGAATTTCAAGGGCTTTTATCATGAATGGGTGTTGCACTTTGTCGAAAGCTTTCTCGGCATCTGTTGATATTATCATATGGTTTTTATATTTCTTTTTATTGATGTGTTGGATAACGTTGATTGATTTTCGGATGTTGAACCATCCTTGTGTCCCTGGAATGAATCCTACTTGGTCGTGGTGAATTACCTTATGGATACACTGTTGGATTCTGATAGCTAAAATTTTATTGAGGATTTTTACATCAGTGTTCATTAGGGAGATTGGCCTATAGTTTTCTTTTTTTGTGTTGTCCTTGTTCAGTTTTGGTATTAGTGTAATGTTGGCTTCATAGAACGTGTTAGGTATTATACCTTCCTTCTTAATTTTTGGAAGAGTTTGTGAAGGACAGGCACCAATTTCGTCTCTGAATGTTTGGTAGAATTCATTTGTAAATCCATCAGGTCCTGGGCTTTTGTTTTTGGGGAGGTTTTTGATTACCATTTCAATTTTGCTGCTTGTATTTGGTCTGTTTAGGTGTTCTATTTCTTCTTTATCTAGCTTTGGGTGATTGTAGAGTTGTAGGAATTTGTCCATCTCCTCTAGATTGTTGAACTTGTTTCCATGTAGCTGTTCATAGTAGTTATTATTCTTTTGATTTCTGCTGTGTCCGTTGTGATTTCTCCTCTTTCATTTATGATTCTGTGTATTTGTGCTTTCTCCCTTTTTGCCCTTGTGAGCCTGGCTAGGGATTTATCTATTTTATTTATTTTTTTCGAAGAACCAGCTCTTGGTTTCATTGATCTTTTGGATTGTTTTTTTAGTTTCGATTTCATTTATTTCTGCTTTGGTTTTTATTATTTCTTTTCTTCTACTGGTTTTGGGTTTTTTTTGTTGTTCTTTTTCTAGATCTTTGAGCTTCGAGATTAGGTTGTTTCTTTGAGTTCTTTCTTGTTTCTTGATGTGAGCATCTATTGCTATATATTTTCCTCTTATTACTGCTTTTGCTGCATCCCATATATTTAGGAAATTGGTGTCCTCCTTGTCATTCAATTCAAAGAATTTTTTAATTTCTTCTTTTATCTCCTCGTTAGTCCAGTGGACTTCCAGTAGTGTGGGTTTCAATCTCCACGAGGTAGGAGAGTACCTTGCCTTCTTTTTATGGTTTATTTCTAGTTTGATGCCTTCATGGTCAGAAAAGATGGTTGGTATGATTTCAATCTTGGTGTATCTGTTGATGTTTGTCTTGTGCCCCAGTATGTGATCGATCCTAGAGAATGATTCGTGTGCGCTTGAGAAAAATGTATACTCAGATTTTTTTGGGTTTAGTGTTCTATATAT